TGGTGCGTTAATAATATGAACGTTATATTTATCGCTTAAGAGTAATTTTATTGTTTCGGATTTTATATAAGGTTAGTTGTCACATCATATTGTTTTGGAGTGGCGGTAAATCGTTCGCGGTACAATTGATAATGGACAATAGAAGCTGGGTACCCAGAGATCTCGTGGGGAGGTGATACGATACAGCCTTATTTTAATGAACCGCTTTTGACCCCGTTATCCACGAAAGCCAGAACCTAACTAGGCTTGAAAAAACATCATCTAAGCTAAATATGAAGTAATAAAAATGTATCCTTTTTTTGATAGAATCAATACAATAATTTTTTTTTTTTATTTTTTTGTATACTTATATATTTAATAAACGGCTTTTAAGGTCGCTAATTGCCTTATGCACCATTTGTTTGGCATTTGTTACATTCGGCAGAATTTTGTTTAAAAAAACTAGTTTTTGATTTTTATACCCTGAACTCATTAAAAATGGGTATAAAGGTATACTGTATTTGCAAAATCCAAATGTATGTAACAGGCAGAAGGCAGCTTCTCCGACCCCATAAAGTATATATATTCTTGATCAGCATCAATAGCTGAGTCGATCTAGCCATGTCCGTCTGTCTGTCTGTCCGTCCATCCGTATGTATGAACGCAAGGATCTCAGAACCTATAAGAGCTAGTGAAATTTTAGATATATGTGCTCCTAGTGCCCGCGCAGATCGAGTTTTTTTTCGATAATCGATAAATTACTCCGTTTCCAAGCAATCGATAAAAATCGATATCGATATCCTGTTTTTTGGGCAATTTAGTAAATAATAAGAGCTATACTCACCAAACTTGACATATAGCTTCAAAAATAGAATATATTTATGCATTTGATGTTGGAAGAAGAGGGTTCAGGGTATCCCCTAGTCGGGAGCTCCCGACTAGAGTCTCTTACTTGTTTTTCTTTTCTATCATGTATCCAGCCTGAGAGGAGGAGGCCGCCTCGCCCTAGGGATGGGTGGGCGGAGTTGAGGGTGGAGAATCTGGGTAAGAGTTCTTCTCCTTACTCTTTTGATGGGACGAGCACCTTGAAGAGAACTAGCAACCTTGATTGCGTGTGTGGCTAGCCGGTTGATGTACAGAGCGCAGTGGGTCCTGATTTGGCCTTTGACCCAGGGGATTTGCAGATCTCTATGGAGGACGCTGTTGCACACGTAATATGGTGCACCTGCCATCCGGCAGATGACCGTGCTTTGCAGGGATTTAAGTCTCATTCTGTTAGAAGCAGCAGCCAAGCCCCAGATCTGTATGGCGTATCGCCAGATGGGTGCAACAATTTGTAAGTAAACAAGTCGTTTACTTGCTAAAGAAAGTTTGCTGCGAGGATTGAGGATGTTAAGCGCTTATCAAGGATAACGCCCAAGGTTTTTGTTTCGCTCTCTTGGTTTAGCATCAGTCAGTTAAGCCTCAGCGCTGTGGGTACTCCTCTTCTAAGTGTGAAGCACACAGCGCTTAGCTTCTGCTTCTGTATTCCGCACCTTTTTGGTTATACCGCTAAGGGCATCGTCGATATCTTCTGCGAAAGCTATATCCATGTCTGAGAAGATGGAATTGTTGAGCTTGCGGCGGAAGACATTGATAATGTTTTGCCTATCGATGATCCTTTCCAGCCTTGGGTAGTAACTGGCAGCGGTATTGATTGATATCATCAGTGGCTAGTGATCGGAGCTCTTGTCAGGGCGAGATTCAATTCTGAGCGTCCAGTGTGGGAGACCCCTGAGCTCGCTTGCAGTCCATCTGAGCCCGGGCTGGCAGTATATCGCCCCAAATTCGACGTCTCTAGCTGCCGTTGAGGCTATTGCAAAGGCCAGTTGCGAGATACCACTGCGGATAAGTATTGCGGCGCCACCCCAGAGTTTAAAGACAAAAAACATTTTAGACGCATAAACCTCCTTAAACTTCTCGAATGCCCGACACTGACTTTTGTCAAAGTTGGCTGGTATTTACATTAAATATCCGGCGCTGACCTTAAGATTATCAAAAATCTCCAGTTACTTTCCATCCAAGGAGTGACCTGACATCGAACAATATGGCTGTTCGAATTGCTTTTACTTTGACACTTTCTTTACAAAAAAAATAGATTTTTCGCGTGAAACCCTATTATTGACTTCGTACAATTTATCTAAGTCCCATGCGATATGTTGGGCGTTATTATCCATGTTTCCATAAAGATAATTTCGTTGACGTCGTAGACAAAGCAATTTGTTTTCTGAGCACATCTAAACTACTGGGTGCATTCTTCATACTTCCCATTTCCTACAGAAAAAGCCGTTTTCTCTGTCAATTTCCGCTAGTAAGACCTGATAATAACTGGATTTTATATCTACGATCGCAAAATATTAAGCGTTCCCTAAATTTGACAGAATAGAGACAACATTGGGATAAGGTATTTGTCGATTATAAGTTAAGTTTTCTGAAATCTATTAGTAAACGGTTTCTCGGAATTCCCTCTTTCATCGATCTCTCTCTCTCTCTCTCTCTCTCTCTTATCTACTACCCAAACGGCGTTTTTAATCCATATAGTACATTAAGACTTGTTTTTCTAAATTTACAAAGTGTGATACGCCCATTGGATAGGGGTATAACTTAATATATGGGCTCTTCATTTTCTTTTCGTCTCGTACCCATGATATTAACGTTATATCAGGGTGCCTTTTTTGGTTCTTCAAAGTCAACCGTTCGGTTTCTTAACGTGTATTGGAATTTTTCTATTTCCTCCTGGAATACCACTACATCCCCAACCTTCATAACATTCACGCTTGACTATTTTAAAAGTTGAATTTATTTGACTGTGAGCTTGTAGATTATTGTTAAACGTAAAACGTCAGTTTGTGTAAGTAAGTCAAACCCGATTATTCTGATAAACGTTGTAAGGTGTGATAATAAGATTAATGACGTATTTGTATTTAAGAGATGCACCACACAATTTTGATTTATGACATTGTAACCATTGATTGATTTCACTAAAATCGATTTTTTGATAAAAATGAGTAAAAAGTAAAAGGGGTACATAACAGGAAAAAGGAAGCATCTCCGACACCATACAAAATTTATATTATTGTTCAGCATCAATAGCAAGATCCACCCGTCAGTCTTTCAGTATGAAGTCAAAGATCTCAGAGCCTATGAGAGTTAGAGACTTAAAATCTGAAATGCGGAATCTAAAATCTGGAATGAGTTTGATTCCGATAATCGATCAACTGCCTCAATTCCAAGCTATCGATAAAAATCTATATTAAAATAGTGGTTTTTCATCAAATCTCTTAGATTTTTAGATCTAAGGTCACTAAACTTGACATGTAGTTTCTAGAATAGTATAGTACCTTTTACTTTATAGCCATTCCCACCACATAGCTATAAGTCAAATAACTAATCACAATCTTAATGCAATTATCTTTTTGAAAATACACGAATATTCTATAGTTTAACAAGATCCACAGTTTATTTTATGAGCGATTAAGTGTTCGTTTGGCTGTTGAGTAGAGGCGGTGGAAAGTCGTGAAGTTTGTTTGTTTGTTTTTTTTTTAAGTAAGGTACCTCCTAGTAGCAAACACCCGACTAGAGCCTTTTACTTGTTTTTTCCTAAAATTATTCTTTCTATGAACGGAAACGAATAATTTTTCTAAAAATTATCCCAGCTTAAGTGTTTTGCTGTTGCATTGGCCATTGATTGTTCTGTTTTTTCTCTTGTGCGTACCACTTTGTTTTGCGTGGTCTGCCTGATATTAGTTGAGTTGTCGACGACAATAAGATAGTCTTGATCTTGTTTGGGTGGTAATCTGCGCTTTATATTAAAATAAGGGATTTTGTCTTGTTGGTTGTTGGTTGGTATCAAGAGTCTGTCGTTTTATTTTTGTTTACCTCTGTAATCTTTGTTCAGATTTTTGGACGCTCTTCTCAACACTTCGGGAAAAGTTGCTTGCGAACATACATCGTTCGTATTTTGCTTCAAACTGCTGAGCTAATGCTAACGCGGAAAAAAGTTTAAATAGCCTTTTGGATAATATATTATCGCTTAACGACATTCTTGTTCTTGAAATAAGCACATCCGCACTGTATTTTTCATTTAATGAAGCATGTACACTATTGTCGTAGGTCATTATTGTCTTGTTTTTTTTTTTTTTAAGCAGAGTTAGCTTTTTCTATACTTCGTCGTAGTATTGCAGTAGAATCATGTTTCATTGACCACATCTTGCAATTTCTGGCTCAATTAGAGGTACTTGTCGTTTGTCTGCGTATATAAAATATATAAATAAAATTTAAAGAAGTGGACAATAAAGCTACATCTTCAAAATGTTTTATCGTTCCTCCGGCTTATATATAGCCGGAGCCGGCTTATATACGCAGACAAATGGCACTATGACTCAGCTAATTCTCTATCGTGCGAAATTGCGCGAACATAATCATGGTTTACAAATCCGAAAATCGTCCTGAACAACTGGACTCCTATCTGGTCATCAGTCCTCTCCCAGCGCTTGGCAAAGTTCTAGGGGGATGTATTTTTTTAAAATAATTCTCGACACACTCACTACCGAACGGGGTATTCTGAAGTAGCAGTTTGTCTTTATACTCAGTCATGGCATCCCTCAACAGCTGTACTGAGCTGTACTGAGCTTTAACCTTGTCTCAATAGGATTTATTTCTTTCTAATAGGACATTTAATGTGATCCTTGCATCCACGAAGGTATCGTAAAAGAGCCGACGCTATATAACCTCTTCATCAGTGATATGACATGTCAACAGCAACGGATGACCTTCAGGACTACTTAAAGCGATTGGAAAATTAAATTAATAAATCTTGAGAAATACGCCAACGCCACGTAAGCTTGCAGGAAAAACACGTGTGCTAGTATGTCTCTCCAACTTAAAAGCTAAAGCTCATTATACATTTATGTGAAGCGTTAATTAAACCAGCGTATTGATCAAATCATTAATATCACCTATTTTCATCTCTGCTCTTACAGGTATCTTGGGTCCGTCATCGGGATATACATCTTCTAACTGTTGGCCGTTATACGTATACATCAGATCAGCGATTCGAAGCAATGCACTCGCCACATGCCGAAGACTGGACCCTTCGTATACGTTATGCCCAGCGCAAGGACTCAGGCATATATGAATGTCAGATCTCCACAACACCACCAATCGGTCATTCAGTCTATTTGAATATTGTGGGTGAGTAGTGAATTAGTTAACCTACTTCCAAAATTGACTATGATTCGGATAATAGCTGACATGATACTCAGTTTTTAAGGTGTCGCGAAACTTTAAATAGTCCCTTTTTTTTTTGTTGCATGAAGGATAACAATATCACATATCACATTTGCTTCTCAACACATTTCTCCTTTAATATGAGTAAGCTCTTATGGAAAACATCAGTAGTATCAGTTACTCTTTCCGCAATAGTTATCACTGTTTGGTATAACTGGGGCAAAATATTTGGTGGTTAACGTTTCAGGCTTCAACTCAAATCCAAGGATCTTTATAAAAATGTATTTGTGTTTTACTCAATCAAATCTTTTTCCGATCAGATAAGCGGTTGAAAAAAAGGTTTTTGTTTTCCATTCGATCGGCAATATCATTGTTAAAGATCTAACATGGATTTCAAACTTTTTGCAAAATCAACACATTTAAAGAATGTATAAAATTTTATTTTTCGTGTTAAAGCTTCACATCTTACATCAACCATCCTCAACCATCAAATGAAGTTCGCGCTACGCCTTGATTTACAATTTTTTGATTAAGTTTTTATGTACACCATACAATGCGATTGCAATTACAATTCTTGTGAATGTACATGCAAATGTACACAGAATTTTAGCGCTTTGCGTTTGCAACCAACCGTCTTTCTCACTGATCTCTATGTGTCTATGTAGTCTATTTTTGTTTATGTTTATGTAGTCTATTTAATAGTAATACAGAATATTTGTACATTTTCAAATAATACATTGAATTTAATTTTCTTTTTGATTATACGATGTTAAAAAGAAGGGCGCGCGTCAGACGCTTGTCAATAATGATATTTTCTTTTGCGCCCATGATCTGCCCATTCACAGACATTTGTATGTGTATGTCTGTGTGTTGAGGTCGAGAATCAGTTAAATTTGCATCGGGGCCAGGTAGGCAGGCAAGCAACAGGCACACAAGCACATAAATGCTTCTATACAAAGAAGTATGCGTGAATAGCGAGTCCAAAATATTTTAAATGCACACATCGTAACGCTTGGGTACCCTTACCAACCCTAGCGAGCTAAAATGCAAGAATTTCGCATCGACGTGGCAAACCCTTTCTCTATTTAATATTACTCGTGCCTTTAAAAGGGTAGAAATGTGCGCAGTTTTACTTGTCTGATACATACACACACACACATTTAAACGATCCCTAAACATAAAGAGAGAGCATTGAGAGCTGAGAGTAAGTGCAAGCGAAATAAAAGTTAACAGCGTTGCCGTTCTATCGCACAAATCATATGGAAGAGAGTGCGCCAAGCACTTTCCTGTAGAGTAAGCGGTTCAAAAATACATCATGTGTATATCTTACTCCCTTACTTGCGATTTTGGACCAGATGCCACCTAAAACTTTACTCATGTCCAGTCTATATGTTGTTTGGTTAGTGAAAAAACGAAAGATACTTGATCTGTATATGCTAATCTAAAACCTGAGCATTCAGATATCGACTTTTATCGATTGCTTAGAAACGGTTCAAGATATCGTGTATCAGAAAAATCTCGAACTGTGCGATCGGAGGACCTATCATAAAACTTCCATTGTCTATCTTAAGAGGTCTGAAATCGACGCAACTTTGTTTCCTTGCATAATTTTATACCATGTACCCATTAAAAATGAAAAAATGGGGTAAAGCGAATGTATGTGAGAAAGCACCACCGGCCCATAATATATATATATTCTTGGTCTGCATCAATAGACGAGTCGATCTCGCCATGGCCATCTGTCTGTCCATCGCCATCTATCTGTCCATCGCAGGTATATCAGAATCTATAAGAGCTTAAAACTTTAAATTTAAAACGTAGATCCTGGACATGTAGCTTCTAGAATATTATATGTATATCAAGTATCTTTCATTTTATAGCTTTCACCGCCTCGCCGTTACTACCTCATACCAATTTATATTGCCCAACAATATCCAAATGCAATTGACTTTTTACATCATTTACAAATATTCTATAGTACAATAACACTGCTGCTGAAAATTTCATCAATATCGGTTAAGAAACACAAAAGTTAGCAGCTAGCGCAAATTCCAAGAATTTTTGTATACATATATACATTCATGCGCGTCTTCTTTGAGTTCAATCAAAAGCATTGCAATTGCGATTGTATTGTATCATTAGTGATTGTATCCTGTGTTGTATGTATGTGTTGCTTTTTAATTAGTTTTTTTCTCGTTAATAGCCAATAGGTGGCATGGCTGTTGAATGGAGGCTGCGGAATGTAGTGTGGTCTGGTACGAGCTTGAAACCTACCGAGGGAAATCCATTTTTTTATTTTCTTTTATTACTGCTTAAGCATTTGGTGTTGGTAGAAGAGGGTTCAGGGTATTACTGCTAAATCATACGTTAATAGCAACTGAGGTATCCCTAGTCGGGAGCTTCTGGATTAAGCCTCCTACTTGTTTTTAGTTTGAATTTTGTTCGGCTAATGCGTAATAGCGTTTATTGCAATTATCAATAAGTAAGAGGTTCTAGTCGGGAGCTCCCGACTAAGGGATACCCTGAAGCCTCTTCTTCCAACATCAAATGCATATATGTATATATTATATTTTAGAAGCTGTATGTCAAGTTTGGTGACCCTATTTACCTAAATTGCCAAAAATAAAACAGGATATCGATATCGATTTTTATCGATTGCTTGGAAACGGAGTAAGGTATCGATTATCGGAAACAAACTCGATCTGCGCAGGTAGTAGGAGCACCTACATCTAAAATTTCAGTCTCGAGCTCTTATAGGTTCTAAGATCCTTGCGTTCATATATACGGACGGACGGACAGACAGACGGACATGGCTAGATCGACTCGGCTATTGATGCTGATCAAGAATATATATACTTTAAGGGGTCGAAGATACTTCCTTCTGCCTGTTACATACATTTGGACTTTGCACATATACAATATACCCTTATACCTATTTTTAATGGGTTCAGGGTATAAAAAATACGGAAGCCTTTGCAAGTAGACTTTACGACTGGCTCGATAAAGCGAAAACGCTCGCAATAGAATGTATTCTCGGCTTCGGCTCATTGAGTAATAAATAGAAATATATGAAAAGTCACTCCGAGTTTTTGATGGTTTGTTTTGATTGCTTAAAAGTTGAAGCAAAGAGACAAATAATACCAATTTGTTAGTTGCTGGTTCGTTCCTATCATGCAGCGCGTGGAAACAGTAGCATAATTTTGGTACTAAATTGTCATTGCATTCCTCCAATTATGATGTACATTACAATAATTTTTTGATGAGGCTTTCAATGGTAAGTTATTTGTTCTAAAATGTAAGCATTTTCTGTACGCAACGATCGCACAAAAAAGCATTAGGCTATTACGTCATATAATTATATGTGTCTATTGTTTAAGTCAACCAACCACGACTACGAAATTCTCATGTTCTGTAAGTTATTCGCGTCGTGGGTGCTAGCAATAACATTTTAGGCTGTGCCCACGTGTCCAGTGTCTACTTCTTACAATTCCCGCTTGTGAGATTATAGGAGCATACCCGTTGACTTTTTAATCTCATCCATCATTCCGTCTGTAATTGGAGAGGTCTGTGGTATGTCCTAAGTAATAACTTCAATCCCATGCTAGTTCGTCCCCGTTTATATTCAGTATATAGTGCGATTTTGTAGTTCGTAAACCGTGCTATCACAGAAGCCAGGAATAGATAGATAACATGGAAACCCCTGGAACAATAATTTTATGTTACAAATTTAAAAAAAGGCGTTTACAATGCAGCCCAAGGTTTTACCGGATTATAACCTAGTGGACCACACTCCTTTAATTAGAGCCGTTGTCCCTTAATCAGCTTCAACTTTTTCCTCTGAACAAAAAGGGGGGAAGTTTGTTCCCTAGCCCCCTATTGCTTGTTACTAGTACCTTTTCCCCCTCCTCAAAAGCCCTGTTCTGGAATTTGGTAGCTGCTTCTTGCCATATACTAGGGGTCGGGCGTGGAGAACATCAACCGGTTCTCTATCAGTGGCGAATTGCATCGATTCATTATAGCCTGGAGGATGAGGTCGGTCGTTTGCTCGATCCCCCTCTGGAGCGTTATGCATTTCGCAATTTCTGAAAGAGTGCTATGAAACCTCTCAACTTGGCCATTCGATTTGGTATGCGGATGCAATGCTGACCCCAAAATTATTCAAAAGTAAAGCCCTAATGGTCTAGGACTTAAATACGGGTTCATTGTGACAGTACACGTGCTTAGCGAAAGAAAGAAGTTCATCAGTACCATGAGTGGCACCTTCACGTTCTCAGTGGTGCGCAAAGCTATGGGTTGCGTTGTTGCGAACTAAGAGTTTGTCAACGCATGTCAAGAATAATATATTGTCGGTTGAATAAAAGCCAATAACAGTAACATTTCCCCGCGCGTTAGGCGTTGTACCATGTTCTTGCTTCTTCGGATGCCTCTTGTACCTGACTTGTGAGCAAATTTTGCAGTTAAGGGCCAACTCATTCGCAAATTTTTGTCATTTTCCGAAAGTAGAAGTCAGACAAAACCTGTCTAACATTTTCCTGTGCGGCTCTAAAAGCGCGGTTATGTTTAGCAGTCATGATCTCCCTTTTTTCGTTACTTTAAAAGACGTCGACAATAATGTTCTTACAATGTCCAAATTTTTGTGGGAAAACTCTTTACGAGCTTGATCTGGCAATGGACAAGTGTGGCGAGTCGCAGTGAGTTGCGGTTATAACAGATTAGGTCCGGCAGTAAACTGATAGTGTGGCGAGTATCTTTTGCCGAATAATGTCTTTTTTTTTTGCAATGGGAGCCGCGCTTCCTCTAGAATAATTTGAATCCATTTTTCCATAACATTTTTTTTTATTATACCGTGTCTTAAGACAATAAGTAAATTTAGTAAATTATAATGAAAATTAACAGGAATAGATTAAAAATGGTTAAAAAGGGTATATATCCTCTTGATCAGCATCAATAGCCAAGTCGATCTAGGCCTGTCTGCCTGTATGTATGAACGGAAGGATCTGCAAACCTAAAAGGGCTGACGACTTGAAATTTTAGCTGTAGGTCTTCTTAGGGCCCGTGCTGTTTGTTTGTTTCCGATATTCGATAACTTGTCCCGTTTCCAAAGCACTATCAAAACTCGATATCGAAATCCGGTTTTGGAACAATTTTCAAAAATAACAAGTAAAAGGTTCTAGTCGGGAGCCACACCCGGAAAAAAAGGAACTAAAATAGCCTTAAAGAAAAAAGTCGCAATTACCATGCTGTTGGAATGTATTGTAACGCTGGTGGCTGTAGGCGGCTAGAATAGTGCACTGATATATGCATGATACCTAGGGCTGTCTTTATACTTCCACATCTGCATGCCTTAAATGAGATTTACATCAAAGTGAATATCATTATATTACTGATACATTTAATGAAATATTAATGATCTTGTTCTTGATCATTATATCAACGCTTATACCGACTATCATATTTAACAATATATGTTTTCTTTCTCAAACGAACTGATTTTTAAAGTTTTGAAACTTTATATGCTAGAAGAGCATGCTATCTTGATCATGTCTTTAATTAACTTGTTTTTGCTCATTGAGGATACGATACAACTTACGTGCGAATATAGCGTTTTACATATGATGTAGTATGAATTTTAAATGATGTCGGTGAAAGATGATTTAGTAAAGTGATGTTTGAGCTCAAATCAGCACCATCTGTAAATGAATAAGACTTTAGTTTACGTATATATGAATTAGATTATATTCCAAAAGCAAGTATACCGTTCCTTGCAAAAATCATTGTAAGAAAAACATGATCAGTTAATATTTGTTTAACTTGGCTTAAAAAAAAAATTATATATACTAGGAATAATTCAAGGGCAGCGCTCCAATTAAAATTACATCCCGTCATTCGTTCTTCTGGATCTACTGTCTGGTTGGTCCACGCTGCACCATTAAGAATTTGGATTTACGAAGATCTTATTTTGAAATCGCTGTTAGTTTTCTTTGGCATATTTCATAACGAAGGCAGGGCTGCTGCTTATATATATGTAGATGGTTTTTCAGAGTCCATTTTCACATTGGCGTTCCGAAGATATAGGTTATGTAGAAGCACGCGTGTTCACCAAAAGTCTACATCTGAGCATTGAGGCTATATGCGAGGCCATACGTGCTTGTTGCTCCTTTCACAGTGAAATTTAAGCTGTTACTGTGGCCGTCGAAGCTTCTTATGCGAACAGCATTCCGTCGAAATTTTCGCCTTTCCGTGGATAGAGAAAGTTCACACCCGTGGCTATGGCCACACGGCCTAAACTTCGCCGGCTGTTATATTGGCCTACTGATCAGTATTCGGTTGGTGGTAAATTTCTTCCACGTGTCTTTAAACAACCGGTCTTCTCGGCTTGCAAGAGATTACTTGATGTAGCTCTAAAATGCACGTCTGCTTCGTAGTGCCGCCGAAATCAAAAAAGGAAAGCACGCCACGCGATTTGGTTTGGTCTCAGCATCGGTATGCAAAAAAAAGCTCTCCAATCAACGGGATCCTTCCAATGCTTTTGACATCTAGCGTTGCCAGATCACCCGATTTACAATTTTCTCTTACCAGATAAGGTTACCACTTAAATGTAAATTATTAGGAATCTGACTACGTTAAAATAAACAAACATACTCTTCGTATTTTACAAGGCAGCCGTAACAAATGCGAAGCAGACGCGCATAAATGTGTGTGTGTACATGTATACAGAAATTCTGCTGCTGCCCCGTTCAATTGCGCAGTTGCATATAACTTTGGTTTTTACTTAACCGATGTTTATGAAATTTTCTACAGTATATCTTATTGTACCATTGTATTCTGAAAAAGTCAATTGCAAATAAATTGTGGCTTAAATTGGCTGGCAATAAAAGTTGGGTTATTAACTTGATTTATAGCTCTGGAGGTAGCGGGGAGGTGGCGGCAGGTATAAAATGAAAGATACTTGACATATATATAATGTATAGAATCAACATATCATGTTTGGTGACTCTAGCTCTTATTATTTACCAAAATTTCCCGAAAAACAGGATATCGATATCGATTTTTATCGATTGCTTGGAAACGGAGTAAGTTTTCCATTATCGGAAACAAACTTGATCTGCGCGGGCACTAGGAGCATCTATATCTAAATTTCAAGTCTCTAGCTTTTAAAGGTTCTGAGATCCTTGCGTTCATACATACGGTCAGACAGACAGACGGACGGACGGACAGACGGACAGACAGACAGACGGACATGGCTAGATCGCCTCAGCTATTGATGCTGATCAAGAATATATATACTTTATGGGGTCGAAAATGCTTCCTTCTGCCTGTTACATACATTTGGATTTTGCACAAATAGAATATACCCTTATACCCATTTTTAATGGGTTCAGGCTATAAAAAGAGCTAGAGTCACAAAACTTGACATTTAGCTTCTAGAATGGTATATATATACAAATATATCAAGTATCTGAATAGTATATATATATCAAATATCTTGCATATTATAGCTACTACCGCTACTACCTAATAGATTTTTAATCAAATAAATGAACAAATTTATGCTGGCACCAACATAAGCCGCCATTAAACTTGAATTGAATTTTCGAGAATATCCAATTATTCTATAGCACAATAAGATGACCTGTCAAAAATTTCCATCAAGATCGGGTAAAAAACACAAAAGGTTTTAAAGAAAATGTGTTTAGCTGGCCTCGGCGGGAATCGCAAATCGCAAGAATTTCTGTATTTACACACGCATTCATGCGCATCTTCTTTGAATTTTATCAACAGCATTGCAATTTTTTTGTTTTTTGTGCTGCTATTTCAATTATTTTCATTAAGACTCGAATATTGGACTGGCTGTTGAGTAAAAGCGGCGGCACATATTACGGTCTCTTGCAAGCTCGAACCCTACCGACGAAAATACTTTTTTTAAAGTTATTTATTTTTATAACTAATAAAGCAAACGAGCCTATAGCGCGAGCTGCATTTGATATTGGCAAAAGAGGGTTCTAGGTATCCCATCGTCGGGAGCTTCCAACTAGAGCCTTTTACTTGTTAATACATTTGTATAGCTTGCTAATCTTTGGATTCGTCAGTCTAAAGCCCTACTATAATTGGCGTTGAAGTCGCCACCAACAATAATTCTCATTCCGAGTTCTTAGAAGAAAATGTAATAAATCAGTTTCTTTGAGTGCGAACCTTACGAGAGGGAAGTGGGTGTGACTGTGACGACTGCATGTAAGTTATCAATTAATGTATGTTCTGTGATGTAACACAGTGTTATCTTGGGTAAGTTGCGTTGATCCCGCGCTGCCCTTGATCCAAATATGTTCTCCTTGATCCAGTAATATTACTGAAGATTATGTTTTGAAGTTGGCTTCTATTGCTGGCCTTGGGCTCAGACAATAACGAAAGATATGTTTTATCGGCAATGCCGGAGCAGTATATTTATTTCCGCGACTTATGTGTTGCGCGCCTCATATAAAACTAAAAACTAGGGGACAAGCAAATTATACAAATACCCTAAGCCTCAATGCATCACGCCATCAAAGCATGGTCGGCAAGCCGACTCAGCATTCCATGCAGTGTCAGCTTACCGCTGCTGGCCGTTCTTAGCGCAGAGCGCTGAACTCAGTTCTAGCGCGTCAGCATTGTTAATACGAAGCTACTTAATTGCTAGGGCAATATATTTATGCTTAGTTGTTAACTACCCCCCCCTCAGGATGATGGCCGTCCTCGGGCATGTCGTATTTGTCAATCGCCTTCTGCATCTGCATGGAGGCTCGTCTTTTCCTTAGCACCAGAAAAAGGAAGAATGAGCCAATTAGTCCGACATTCAGGACCGCGCCAATCGCGAACCAGAATTTAGGCGAGCCAGCCGCAACTACCTCCTCCTTGAAATCTCGAATTGATAGCAAGTTGTTGATGTTCATACGATGCAGGAGTGGTATGCTTAGTGCCGGGTCATGTCCGATGATGTTTAGGAGCGGTGACCTCACGATGCCAGGCTGCTTGCTTAGTGATTTGCGCAGGTTTACAAATTCTGTGCCATTGATAGTTGCAGACCGTTCGAAAGTTATCAGGAAGGTTCCTGAGACGGTTACCTCTGCGTCATCATCTGTTCGGACGCGCGCTGTCGCTTCGTTGATAACCACGACGCCGTCATCTACAGGCATTATCGCTTTCAGGTGGCTAGGTTGAGTGTGGCAGTTGGCGATGTTTCCCGCGTGAAGGGAGCTAGCACAGGTTCCGCGCCGTGCTCGTTCGCAGAAGGTGTTATGCGTAGTTACGGTGCATCCAGTAACTGCAAAGGTATCCTTTTCGCATTCCGCCAACGTGTCTTCGTCGAGTCGCAGAATGGTTTGTTGGTGTGAAACGGGGTAGACGGAGACCTTTTGGCACCTAAACTCAACTTTAGGGTAGGCTATTAATATGTGGATAATATTCTCGGACTGAAGGACCTTGATCTTAGAAGCTTCTATCAAGCTAACTATTGGGGTATCTTGTTCGATAAGTGATTTTAGATCGGTATGATCAAGGATTGTAGGATTTACTATGCTTGCTTTTGCCAACGTTATGGTGAGTACTAAATTTTGAATTTCTGTGTTCAGTATTCTATTTCTTGCCAACAGGGTCTTGAATAAATGAGGAGTGTCAACCAAATCGCCTTTGCGGGAACTGATAATTTTATTGATAGTGTCCGTTAGTCTGTTTATTTGTTTTTGAGTTTCGGAGTTTATTAGTATCTGTTTGGAGTTAGCCTCCACCAACTGCGTCTCTGTAACGCGGATCCTTAAGAAATCTGAAGCATCAGGGGTGCCAGCAACAACCTTCAAGGCAGTGCCTAAGAAATCGAGGCTTCGTGCAAATCTGTGATGCACTTGAAGAACGGACAACAATGTTCTAAGGTGATCTGTATCTACGTCTAGTAGTTTGCGCATATGCGACTGTGGAAAGGAATCGGACAGTCTTTCCGTCTCGTCTATCATACTAACAAATTCGGAAATGTTACTTGAGTGCCTCAAGTAGCTACGTTGATCGAACACCAGTACTTCCCCGTCTAAGACCGGAATGTAGTTGGCATGCGAGAAGTCGGTGATCCGAGCATTTACCGCTGCTAGTGCCACAAGCAAAGTGAGTGCAAACCTGAAATGGACGAACAATATAAGACGGTGTTTAAACTCTGAGTTGGCTTACTAGCTAATTGTGGAGGAAAACTTATTTCAGGTTGTCCTTATGGACCACCCTCCCCTTAATGAGGACAGACGTTCCCAGGTCTGCTTCGACCTTTTGTTCTGAGCATAAGGGAGTTAACTTGTTCCCTACCCTCTTGTTGTTCTTCTGGAACACCTTTTCTCCTACCTCGAAAACGCGGTTTTGTCTGGATGCATTGCACCTTTTGATATTGTCTTGCTGTGCCTTAATTAGCCTGTTTTTGACGTTCCCGCGACGATCAGAAGCTGCTGCATGAACGACCTCAATTGGTTTCTCGAGGGTTACTGAGTGCAAACTTTTGTTGTACTCTATCGTAGCCTTTAAGATTAATTCTGTAGTGTCGCTGATTTTCTTGTCTAACTTGAGGCATCTCGCAATTTCGGTCAGGGTGCTATGAAAGCGCTCCAGCTGGCCGTTTGAGGTGCTGTGAAGCGGAGCCGCATTCACAATGCAAATGCCGTAGGCGTTTCGGAGCATCGAAGTGATGGTCTCGGAATTGAAGGCCGCCTCGTTATCGCAATAAATTGTCTTGGTTGCGGGAAAAAGGTTAACAATTTGCAGTAGAGGGCTTGTGACATCGATTATCGTTCTGGATAATATCGGTTGGACGACTGCAAATTTTGAGAATTTGTCTATGCAGGTCAAGAACTGTTTCTTGTCTGTCGAGAAAATGTCAATATGCAACATTTCGCCAGTATAACTTGGTATAGGCGTTTCCCCGAGTTCTTGTTTCTTCGGGTGCCTATCGTATTTGGCTTTAGTGCAGACCCTGCAGTTTGCAACCACTTCTTTGGCCAGACTGGCCATATTGGGAAAATAATAGTCCCGAAGTACTTGTTTAATGTTTTCCTGAGCTGCTCTGTGCGCTCGATTGTGCTCGGCAGTGATGATTTCTAACTGCTCGTTTTTGTCCGTTATATCTTGCACAAGATTTTTGCAATGCCAGAATTGGGTAGCAGGGAAATACAAAATCAGGTCGTGTTGGAAACTTGCCAACGTGGGAAGATCGCAATGTATTGCATTAACGACTCCAGAATTCACAACTTCTTTGAGGGTTTTGAGAATTGAGCTCTTGTCAGTGTAACTGATCAAGTGGCGTGTTTTGCTGCGAAACAGCAACAAGTTTCGCTTTAGCGGAAAACGCGATTCCTCTAGGACAATCTGGTTCCTAAAGCAATTCAAAGGTTTGTCTGTTGTCTCGACCGTGTAGGTCAGGGAAAGTTCGCTGT